TTTTTACAATATTTTGGTAGAAACCAGAAAGAAAAGGATGACAAGAAACAAATAATTTACTTGGGGGAGGGGGGGGGGCTAGAATCTATGCATTTTCAAGACCTCCACAACAAAGACAACTAAGTTACAGTGGTAAGTTCAGCTTCTTAGCCATGCAAATGTATACGAACATCATGTATACTTTGAGACAGCTTACAAGAATGGTAAAATAGTTTAAATTCAGCATTTTAAACGTGGCACATACTTGACGATGCTTACGTTGACGACATTTCTAATCAACCAATCAAATCTATGGTCAATAGCTGACCATGAACCTACTCATTATCCAGCATGTATTATTTTGTAGCGGACTCCGAAAGAACTCTTGGAGGTGCATAGATCCCAGGTCGTGACACACTGTAAAGTGTGCTAAGACAAGCTGCCAGTGAAGAAATATAGAAAACTCAGAATAATATCTACTCTATACATATGTACAAATATATACAATACTCACAAGACTTACAAACAACCCTGACAGATTTGTCAATTTCATGAATATTTCAATATCCAATAGTATTGATACGAGGTTTGGAATTAGAAGCATCAAGGTGGGCTATGTATGAACGGAATCAGTCTGATGTGATAGAAACTGAGTTCTAGTATGAACAGATAGCATACTGCTCCAAAACTGTGGCTGATTTATTAGAGCGATTCAAACAGATCACACCTGGCTTGCCATGAACCTTTATAGTGATCACCTTCATCGTTGCGTTCCTTACTGGCTTTATCATCACAGACACGCTCGGCTGCACCCTCCGTAATACTCTTACTCTTAGTCTCGTTCTTTTCTTCTTTGTCTGCGCTTTTGGCGTTCCGCTCGCAGTATATCTGGCCGCTACAATGAGTGACGCTACTTTTATATTTCATGCTGCTACTCCTACGTGTGTATCTTTTGTTATACTGTATCTTCGGTGTTCAGATTTTTCTATTGAGTGTCTCCTCGGTGGCGATCTGGAGTCGGCTGAACCGGGATGCAATCTATCTGGTGACAAAGCTCTTCTCAAGAGCGGAGAGGGCGGTGCATCAGCGCTTCTTGGTCTCCCAAATTGTTTTTTCTTTTCAGATCAATTGGACTGGCTAGCATATGGACTGGATAGATCTGGGTAGTGTTAGAGCTGCCTGGTGAGTGACTCATGTTCACAGCAACTGCCAATGGACTAGGACTTCTTGTCGGCGATGTTGCACTTGGTGACGGGCTTGGAGTACGCGCCAGTGGAGATAAAGGTATATGCCCAACTGACTTTCTCCTGTGGTGGAATGTTCTGGACAATTTGTGTGTTAGACCATGCAATGAACTAGGTCTCGATGAGAAGTGTGAAGTTGCTGAGGAGCTACTGGCCGGGGTAGTAGGCACACTGGAACTTGGTGAACTGCTCTGTGACGATGTAATTGGTGATGTATTCTGTGAATCCGGTGGTGATCGATATAACGGTGGTGACATCATTCTCGTTGGTGATTTTGGTTGCATCCATGTCTCGTTATTCGCTGTGGCTCTATTTATTGACCCTATACTCCTGCTGGGACTCAACGAAGTTGACTGCAAATGATGGTCGACACTCGTGCGTTTAATGCTTAGACGTCTTAACAAAGAACTTTTCCTCCTTTTATCACTGTCTCTTTTCCTACCCTTCTTCCTCCTTCTCGCCATTTTGCTGGATGCTGGCGATCGTTTCCGGCCACCACTTTGGATTGATGTTTTTTCCAATGGCAACGCATGTAGAGTGACACTGTGGGCATTTCCACCAAGAATTAATTTCACCACTTGTATGTGTAGCAACCCTTGTATGGATTCATTGTTCACATGTGTTACTAGGAAACCAGGACGTAAACCAGCATCATAAGCCGGACCATTCAAATCCACAGCCTGAAATAAAACATAGCACAACTATTATAAGCTTGCCAATTTCAATGAAAACCTGTTACAAATTGAAAGATGTAACTGGTGTTGTAAATTACAAGATGATGTTGATTTCAGTTTGTTGACAACAGCATAAACCAAAAAGTTTACAACAAACTAGTTCAGGTATTGCTGTTCATATACTGTGGTGTAGACATGTTTTTATTTGAAAATTAATGATTAAAGACATTGTATTATCTTTTACATGCATTGAGTCACAAAGTAATTGACCTGCCAAATGTTAACTACAAGCCATATTGTAACTAGTTTTCAAAATTCCTTCCAATTCTACTTCTTTATGTCCCACTGTTATTAATGTGTTCGTAGCAATGTTTTTGCTTTGAAATTCGTCCATCAAAAAACGCAATTAATATTTTCATGAATTTTGTGATGCAATTTGTTATGGAATATTCTCAAACATGAAATTTTGAAATCACATTTGAATTGAAAAAAGACCACAGTTACCTGTCGCTGTGTTCTCTAGTGTCATTGATCAAACATAACAGACTGAAGGTTTGCTCTTGCATGGACTATAACAGCTTCTTTCCTTTTTTCAAGAACTTACCATGACTAAATGATGTACAGTAAAATAATCACTGTCCCCCATGTACACTCTTATAGCTCGTAGCGTGAAACCAAATCCTCGTGGTCCTTTTTTAATTTGGATGGGAGGGGTAGATGGTTGAGGAGACCCTTCTCTGCTAGGTGATGTATCTCGAGAACTGCAAGATGCCACACCAGGAGAATGAAGAGCAACAGGAAAATCATCTGCAAATTGAAAACATGAAAATGATCAAACTGTTTGATTCATAGAATCACATATCGGTATATGCATAACAATGAACCCAATGCTATTATTCGATTTATAGAATCACATTTATGCATAACCACTATGAAAGCAATGTGAGTGAAAGACCAAAAGTTTACTTACCTACAGGTATAAGTAAAGATAAAGCTGTAGTCGACGCTGACTTTATAACTGGTCGACATTTCATTTTCGATATTGTATCTGGACTCAATGATATGGGTACTGGAATATTCTTAGACAGTCTTTTTGCTGCCAAGTCTGAGTGAGTAAGTGAAAGATCTGTGGTTGTAATTTTAGGATTGCTCTCCTCGCAGTGTTCTTCTTCTAATGATACCGAGAATTTAGGAACTCGTTTTGTGTCTTTCATCATTGGTTTACGTGAAGTATGTTTGCTACTCTCATGTAACAGTGAAGGTGATGTCTCACTGCTTTTACGTAAAGGAGGCGATCCGTCGCTGCTTATTTGAAGAGGATGGTGTATCAACAGAGGTGAATTGTCACTATTGGCAAACAAAGATTGTCGTAGCAATGGTGGAGAATAGTCCATAGAACTGCGTTTACGTGTAAATTGGTCACCACTGTGAGTTTGGCAAGATTCAGGTGTTGATATTTCTCTTGGTGAAAACTTGAACTGGGAACTGGAAAAAAAAAAGGACGCATGTTGTGGCAAGTATCTGCTGAACTCATGGAGACAATATATCAGAACAGTTTTGGGAAATCCATTTATTTATTACAATATTATTCATCATATGAATAACTGGTACTGGTATATTTTTTCAGTGTGACGTAATACAGGACAAATAAAAGATCTCAATATTGCATAGACTCTCATTCATTAAATGCACTACATTGTTGATACCAAAATGTTGACTGGATTTTCCAGGTTTATGTACGATGAAACAAGTATGAAATGTGGTATAAAGCATGATCCATATTTAGCAAGTGTATAGTTTTATTTTCAGAATTATTAGTCAATTGCTCAAAAGAATTTGTTAAGATTTTAAAATATCTGAAAAATATCGCGAATGACCAGATTCGCCAAAAACGCATGCGTAGGCCATCCACATACACAACATTTGCATAAGAGTAACGATGACATGGTTTTTTTTTAATTTAAGTGTGATATCAGCAATAGTTTTGCATTCAACTGTTCCAATTGGTCACTCTGTAGAAGCATAAATAACCCCATGATATTTTCTCTCAAGCTGACATCACTCGTGCTTTCTGACGTCAACCTTAGATAAAATATTGTGAGATTATATATAATTACACTATCAATTTAATACCCATAGTAATGTGGGTGAAGATTTAGTGGAAATTGATCAAACTAACTAATGATGATTTTTTAACAATGTTTAGCAAAAATACGCAAACTCGTGGTCAAATAATAGCTCAGTTGTCTTTCTCAAAAAAAAAAAAAAAGTCCAAAATAGCATTTTTTTTCACCAAATATGTCAAATCCTTTTCATATAAAAAATTTAATGTATCAATAGACACATGCACACACACATGCAGACCAAAAGTTTATAAGTGCATACCATTTCTGGAGAACTTGATAATTCCTCTTTTGGTGTGCTCTGTTTATTTCTATCAAGTACGGCAGCTTCTTGATCTAAATCTCGCTGTAGTTTTTCTTGTCTTTGTTTTCTGTCGGCTTCTTCGATGTCTTTTGTTATACTACTGTACGATCTATTATATCTGGGTGAACACGTCGAGAAGTTGTGAAATTCAGGAATATCAGAATCATCGTCATCTTCCGTCTCCATTTCATGGTTATAACGGTCTGTACGACCTGAAGAATAATAATAGTTATTATACATCTGTCACCATAACGTAAAAAGTAACAGCGTGCCATCATTTTGCAGTATTTTACAGGGTATTTTTATCCTACCATATTAGAAAATGCAAATTCCAAATATGGAATGATCACGCGCATAAGCGTGCTCTAATAATAAAAACAAACATGGCTGCCACCAGAGTTTGACCGGACTCCACACAAAGAAGTTCGCTGGTTCTGTTCTAAACATTTTGTATTTCGGCATTCTCATGATGTATCCTTGGAAGGAAAAGATGTATAATAATAAGATTCTTATGAGAATACCTCAAAGTATGCACTCAGACAGTATGCCGCGCATTGACCTCCGATGCACATCAACCGTTACTCCAGCTATACTGTCTTTGTGCATACATTGAGGTATCCTCGTAATAACCTCATAATATTAACAATAACTTGCATAGAATTTAGGGGATACTAAACTTCAATGCAAGCACTGTTAGCAATACATTGCAATTGTCGCACCTGGAATTGGACAGTCAGAAATGTATTTCTTTTTCATTATTTATTTGAGACTAATTGGGTTAATTACAGAGAATACGTAGTGTCTGCATATTTGTATGATTCCGGTATGAGTGTTTTCCCCATGTAATGCATTATCACGCCTTCCTATATACGCTACGCAGCAACAATGATTGACAACACTGCAAAGGATGATGGGAGAAAACCAGAGGTGCAAGAAACGAAAGCGCGGGAGCATGATGCCAACTCTTCACTCTGCCGTGTTTCACTGAAATAACGGACCGTGCGTTACAATCTTAGCACATACTGGTGAACGATAATACTGAGATCTGCCAGGACTCGTGATTTGAGTTGAAATTGATTGCAACTCGTAGAATACCAGAAGTTCAAGTTACCGACGACTAAAGAAACCGCCATATTGGGAGCACGAGACCGTACAAACAAGTACAGTGTACGCGTTCAAGCCAGTGAACGTTTTCCGCGCAAAAACGGCACAGTGATCACGAAGACAACCGTTCCAACGAGCCAATTCGCATCGTAGATGCTATCCTAACCCCAACACCGAAGTAGCAACCTTTATCGACAGGTACCGTTATAATACGAGTTCTGGATAGATCCAGGCCATTTATTTCATTCGGCGATTCGCAAAACAGGCTAAACTGAGTTCTTTCCGACGAGATATTATAATCAAGTGAATTTGTGTTTATGTGAGGCTACATATTCTGTTTTAATTAGAGTACTTGCTAGGCCATATTTTGAAGTTACATTTATTTAACAGCCACAGTGAAAGGCTATTTATGCTCTGGTTAACCATCACTGTTATTGCTAATTTTCTTAGTAAT